GCGGTGTGGAGCAGGTGCTGGGTTCAAGGGGTGAGCGAGAGGCGAGAGAGGTGACTGGGCGGGGAGACGGCTGTGGGAGAAACAGAGGGGACAGTGGAAGAGATGAGTGAGGGAATAAATAATTTGGAGAATACTGAGATTGGGGGTGATGGGGGCGACACCTGAAGGGTGTTGGAGCGCAGAATGGGAAACGGTCTTGGGGAAGATGGAGAAGGCGGAAGCAGGGAGCGATCAGGATGTAGGCACTATGAGGTGGCAGGAAGCAGACTTGGATGTTCAGGAAAAGTCAGTGCAAATACCGAGGAAAAGGGGATAGAAGCAAGGTCCACCAAGCCAAAACCAAGGAAAGGCCTCTGCCCTGAAGGTCTCATTGGCTTATAAACTCTGGGTGGTGAAGAATTATAGCCTTAGACCAGTGTCTTTGGATCCTAAACCTGGCTACTCTCCACAGTCCAGATAAATCCCTACAAAGTCATCCGAAGCTGTTTGCAAGCTCTGGTGATTTATTCTCTTACTTGTTTATCCAAGTTTACCTGGCTGGTGTCTTCTTGTTCTGGGGTCATCTTCTGCCAGGGCAGGAGCTATGTCATGGATCAAGGAAGGAGAGCTGTCACTTTGGGAATGGTTCTGTGCCAACATCATAAAAGTGAGTACAGTTGGTCTCCTGGTTAGTTGGGTAATCTTGTGTCAAAAGCTATTATTAAAATTGAGTAACACAGGGCGTCTGGGTGGCTCAGTTGGTTAAGCAACTGCCTTCGGCTGGGGTCATGATCCTGGAGTCCCAGGATCGAGTCCCGCATCGGGCTCCCTGCTTATCGGGGAGTCTGCTTCTCCTTCGACCCTCCCCCCCTCATATGCTCTCTCATTCTCTCTCTCTCAAATAAATAAATACAATCTTTAAAAAATAAATAAATAAAAATAAAGTTGAGTAACACATGATGTTAAGTGGAATTTAACAATGGGACCAACAAGTCTTTGAATTGCAAGGTAACTTCCAGGTCTGCATTTCTGGCAGATTATTGCCCTAACTTTCACATTTTCAGGAACCCCAGCACCTCCCCATATCATTGGGCAACCTAGACTGTTAGGTCTTCCTTATAGGGAACTGAAATTTCTTACTTGGAACTTTAATCTATTTTTCCTTGTACTGTTCTCTAGATTTAGATAGAATAATCTTTCCTTGATGTTGCAGTAGAGCATAATGGTTAAGAGTTTGGGCTGTAGAGAGGGCGCCTGGGTGGCTCAGTTGGTTAAGCAACTGCCTTCGGCTCAGGTCATGATCCTGGAGTCCCGGGATCGAGTCCCGCATCGGGCTCCC